TTTTGTGGGTGCAGCTAGCTTCTTTGGGTTGGGGTTTTCCTACCAGTATTTTCTTTAGGGCTGGATTTCTGGATAGGTATTCCTTAAATCTGGTTTTATCATGGAATATCTTGTTTCTTACAACTATGGTGATGCTAAGTTTTGGGGGGTATAATACTCTGGGTTGATATCTGTGGTTTCTTAGTGTCTTCAAAACATCTGTACAGGACCTTCTGACTTTTATACTTTCCATTGAGGAGTTGGGGTAATTTTGATAGGTCTGCCTTTAGATGTTACTTCATCTTTTTTCTTTGTAGGTCTTAGTATTCTTTCTTTACTCTCTATGTTTAGTGTTTTGTTTATTATGTTTTATATATGTTTTTATATTTTGTTTATTATTTTTTTTCCTTTTTGGTCCAGTTTATTTTGTGTTCTGCAATCTTCTTGTATCTTCATAGGCATGTCCTTCTTTAGATTGGGAAAGTTTTCTTCTATGATTTTGTTGAATATATTTCCTGTGCCTTTGATCTGGAATTCTCCTTCTTCTACCCTTGTTTCCCTTAGGCTTTGGTCTTTCCATCATGTCCAAGATTTCCTGGATGTTCAGTGTTAAGGATTTAGTACTTCCTTTGACTGATGAATCTATTTCCTCTACTGCATATTCAATACCTTACATTAACTCTACCATCTCTTGTATTCTGTCAGATATGCTTGCATTTGTACTTTCTGTTTATTTATCCAGATTTTCCACTTACCTATTTGCCTTGGTTTGTGTTTTATTTATTATCCCTGTTTCAATTTACAAGTCTTGAACTGTGTCCTTAACCTGTTTGATTGCTCTTTCCTGACTTTTTTTAAGAAGGAATTTATTGATTTCTTCCATTTTTTGTTTTTAAATTCCTTGATTTCTATAAGGGGGTTTGTCATTTCCTCTTTAAGGACTTCTATCATCTTCATGAAGCTTTTTAATATTATTTTTGTGCTTCATGTGCATTGTGATATTCAGGTCTTGCTGTTGTAGAACCACAATGTAATGGTGCTGCCATATTGCATTTTATGTTAAACTGCCCATACCTATCTGTGTCTGGGATAATTATAGGTACATAATTTGTTTCCTGTGAAGATTTTGTTAAATGAGTATTTTGTTCATTTTTTGTCAGTTGTATTTAATTTTTTTGGTCTGAGTAGCTTAGAATTCAGGTGATTGACTGGTTGTCAGGCCAATTGGGACTGTTTCAGTTAAGGCTTATGAGTCCTTGAACAACTTGATCAAGTCTATCTGCCTGTGATTCTGGTTTCTGTAGCCTTTACTTGTGTGTATGGAGTCTGTTCTTCCAACTGGTGTGGGTTGTGTCTGTGCCTATAGAGTCTGTTCTTCCAATTAGTGTAGGTTTTGCTTGTGCCCATTCTTTCAACTGGTGTGGGTGGCTCTAGGGCCTATTGGGTCTGCTGATGTTTCTGAGGAGGTTTCTTCGAGGACATGCTGCTCTTTATCCAATTGGTACCTGTGCTGCTTGTGCCTAGAGGAGTTCTTCTTACAGCTGAAGAAGATGGGGCTTGTGTCTCTAGGGGATGCTGATCTTGAAGGGGCTCATTGTCCAGAGGGAGAATGATCAGATTCCATGGTTTGTGTGACTAAATGGGTCTTGTAGGTTACAGTGTCTAATGATTGGCAGCATTGGTGGAGCAGCCTGCTAGCAGGACTCTAACATGCTGGTTGGATACTGGGCCTGAGATGAGAAGGGGAAAGGCAGGAAATATTCCCTAAGTCTTAGGATATAGGGATTGTAACAGTTTAGCTTGGAGACCAGTCACTTATCTCTTCTTCCAACTTGTGCAGGAGATGCTTGTGTTGCTAGGGGCTGCTAATCTTATGGGCAGTTTCTGGCCAGGGAGAACAAGATGATTTCAGTGGATTTGGGTGACAGAATGGGTCTTGTATGTACAGTTTCTAATGAGTGGCAGCAGTGGTAGAGCAGCCACATCAACATTTCAGATATAATGTGATAGATATTTTTCTGACAGACAAGAAGTGGAGGATTTTGCAATTTTTTTTTGTTTCTGTTGCTCATGAAGAAACATGGGCTAAGTGGTGAGCTAGGGGAATCATCCAGACCACATATACTTTATCTTTTGGATTTTGAATAAGTTCAACAGCAAGTGGATTCTGCAAATCATCAAGAGTTAAAATGGGAAGATACACTATCGGAAATGAACAGATATAAGCATTACTGAATCTTTAAAGGGTTTTAGACACATTCACATCTTTGGACATGAAAATATGGCATAAGAAGCTGTATTATTAATGGAACTAAGAAATTAATATTACAGAACTTTGGAAGTTCATTTCATATCATTTAGAGAGGATGGAATCACCAGTGAGCAGCTTTCTTCCCAAAGGCAGGAGGTATCAGATCCCATTTTCTGAGAGAAAACTAGGTCACGTAGAGAGGAACAAAGATCCTTTTGGAGGCATACTCTCTTCAGCATCAGTAGGTGTTGAAAACATAACAACAAAATCTCTAAGTTCTTAGAGAAAATTAATTTGAAGCCAGCTGTCTGTCCAGGTGTCACTGACAAAGCATGAAGGCTAGCCTCAGCCTTCCAGACAGATGAGGTGTCAGATGCACTTCCTTATTAAAAGTCCCTCCTTCTTCCTCAAATTTTTGAAAAGACAGAAAGGAGAAGACACAAACATAAGGCAGTCAGAAGATCAAAGAAGCCCGACATCAGAGACTGAGGGCATGGCTCATTGGTTTTCTCTAAGGTACATCACACTAGACACAGAACAAAATACAGGATATCAAAACACAAAAGAATATAAAATATTTTAGACAGAAAAATATGGTTCATATGTATAGGATCAGTAATTACAACAGTGTAGTACAATTTATAATGTAACATTTGAAACTGAAAGACAACAGTGATACCTTTGAAATTCAGAAAGAAAATATTTTTCAAAATAAAATTCTATATCCAATAAAATTATTTGTTACATACAAGGAAAAAAAAGTACTTTTTACACATGAAGAGCACAAAAATTTCTAAACTATGCCTCTTTTCTGTGAGGGCATCAGAGGGGTGCTCAATCTAGATTGGAGCAGAATGTAAACTAAACAAGACTACCCAGAGAATAGGGAACATGCCCTGAAAAGACAAATGGGATTGTCTGAATAGAGGAACAGCCCAGACCAGGCTAGCCACAGCCAGAAAAGTCAGACTACCTGGAGGCAGGACAAGAAGATAAGGCAGTGACAGAACGCCCATTACATGGTAACAGGTTTGATTAGATATGGAAATTACAAACACACAGAAACTATGCAGCTCAGGTGTAAATGACAGCCATAGAATTATAAGTATATAAACATTACATCATTATACAAAACAGTGAAAAAATCTCGACTATTCTTTTAGCATAAAGACAAATTCTGGTCAGTGGAAACTCACAGATATGGCGAGGAGTGGAGGTAGTATGTGTGGGAGGCAGGAGCAGGGGCAGAGGATGTGGGTTTAAGGATGTGGCGGTCTGGGGGTAGGGGCTAGAGTATAGATGGGCATAAGTGTGGGGGTGGGGAATAGATGGGTGTAAATATATGGGGGTGAGAGTAAGGGCTGAGGAATAGATGAGAGTAAGTTTGTGGGAGCTGGGGTAGAGGCTGGGGTATAGACAATTGTAAGTTTGTGGGGGTTTGGGGGTTAAGGGTTGGGGTATATACAGTTGTGAATTTGTCGGGGTCTGGGGGTAGGGGTGGGATATAGTTAGGTGTAACATGCAAGAAACCTAACACTTGTTCTTTTAGTACAGTGGTTCTCAACCTTCCTAATGGTACTACCCTTTAACACAGTTCCTCATGGGGTGACTTCATGACTGTAACTTTGCAACTGCTATGAATTGTAATGTAAATGTCTGTGTTTTCCTATGGTGATGGTGAAAGTGTTATTTGACCACCCAAAGGTCATGACTCACAGGTTAAGACCCACTGTTTTAATGAGAGGTTAAAAAAATAACAGAAAAGCATGAAAATATTTTTAAAAATAAGTATTAAAATACCTGAGAAAAAAATGAAAAGGGTTAAGAAGGGTCACTTGTAGGGAACACTGAAAGTTGGTGGAGGGATCTTCATTTTTAAGCCACGGCAAGCAATTTTAATTTTAAAATTATGAGGACATATTACTTCATAAGAGTTAAAGTCCAAGCTTCAGGAAGAAATTATAAATGAAAATATCAAAATATAAAAAAGAAAGTATAGAAATATAAATCCATTTTGTACAAACTCACAGACTCAAGCCCAGCCTGTAAAACACAAGAATGCATCTTAGACAAACTTTCATCTGATTTTCATTTAAAATTGAATTTTTGTTTAAAATTCATAGACTTATACCTGAAATTCAGCATAGACATTGACATCATTTAACAAGTGGTCACTATTGCTTATTTTACTAATAACATGATGTTCAAACAATTGCTGTTTGTCTGATATATTTTTGAATTATTTATTTGGAAGGTGCTTAAAGAAAGATAAGATTGCAGATACAAGGGCATTTTAAATGAGTGAATGTCATGTGCCCGAGGTATACTTAAATACAAAGTGGGAGAAATTATCCTCTGGCAAGAACTCTATCTCTGTATCTGTGGATATTATTGCTCTTGACAAAATGCATACAGACTCATTTGTGAAACTCGTTTTTAACCTGAATCTTAGCTATTGACATTCAATTTAAACTTCTTGTAACCAAGGATGTCTTTTGGAGTTGGAATACAATTTCAATGATTCCAACATATTCAATTATTCATATTAAAATTGGAATTAACATGTAACTCTCAGGTCTTGGTCATGTATAAATCAGGATATATCGCCTGTCAGTGTTGATATTCTTGAGACACTTAGTGCGAACTGTCCTTTTTCATGTGTATAATGTTACCAAGGTTGGCATGGATCATAGGATTAGAGTTTAGTGAAGCAGAACCTTCCAGAATTGTTCTCCTTGACACATTCAGGAACATTGTATCCCAATGATTTCTTATGCCATGCATTTAAATACTGACAAGCAGACTGTTCTGAAAATTCAGAACAAACAGCTAAATGAAAGGATCAGTGAAAGAGAGATCATCGCACATCCTGCTCACTGAAACGCTTTGCTCGTGTCTTCAGTTCCTCAGTTCACTGACAGCTGAGAAACTCGGGATTTCTAGTCCAGAAGAAAGAGAAAATTTTAGAAGATGAAGGCTCTTCTTCTCTCTGCTCTAGCCTGTTTGGTGTCTGCCACTGAGGAACCCTTAGCCTGTTTGGTGTCTGCCACTGAGGAACCCTTACCGGTACAAGGATGGGCTTTCAGGGGATTATTCAGGGGCAAAAATGACTGTGGTGAATTTGACAATTTTTGACCTGACAATCATTCTATGAAAATATTGGTACTTCCCAAATTTTTGTAGTGTAATATATCCCCATGTTTAAAAATATATTTGTTTTAGTATTAAGGTTATAATTATCTCATTTGAGCTGCCTAAATTGCCTAATAGCATTTTTCTGCCAAGCGGTGATGGCATATGCTTTTATTGCCGCACTCAGGAAGGTAAACGTAGACGGATTTCTGTGAGTTTAAGAAGAGCTCCGTCTACACAGTGAGTTCCAGGAAAGCCAAACTACACAGAAAACCCTGTCTTACAAAACAAAAAAGAGCCATATTTTCTCTACTTATTTTTTTATCCACTTTAGCATAATTGACTATATGTTCATACTTGGATATTAGTACACCATTTCATAAGATAATTTACTGTCCTACAAGAATCCAGGGATGATTTGTTATAAACATAATAGAAAATCTAAATTAACCTGATACCTGCCTGACAAACACATTGTGTTTGTATGAATGTCTGTATGTTTTAGAGTCATCCTTCTGTGGTCAATGTGTGGGATAAATATTGATATGAATTATAATCCATTTATGTTTCCAATAGAGATATTTGATTTCTTGATATTTCTGTGTTGTGGGTGTTTGAGTGAGTGTTTGTCCTTGACTATATATTCACAAACATTTCAGCAAAGATGTAGAAACCAGTGGCAAAACATTTTAACAGGTCTGGCTTTAACTCCTTCTTTCTCTGATCAGAGTGATTTCTCCATTGAAACTTGATCCTAATACCTTGGCATACAAAGATTTTTTTTGTCCATATATGCATGAGATGTAGTTTGTATGTGGATTTTATTATGTTTTCTTTTAGATTATTTATGCGCTTCTAAGTTGCTTTATAGTAGGAACCTAAAATAACATACATGTTCCTTAATTGTATTTTGTGTGATATAAAACTATTATACTTTATTAAATAAATGTATATATGTTTACAAATAATATGTCTGGTATTTTAACAGAAATATTGACATTATTGCTATTAAGAAAAGTTGACATTAATGCTATTATTACATTATATTTGTAATTGATTTTATATTACAATTTTTAGTTGAAATCTGTAATTTACTTATTTTTTCTAAGTGTTGTTTTACCTTAAAGTTTTTGATAATTCTATTTTTTATTTTATGTGTGTGGGTGTTTGGTCTATGTATTGCATTTTGTATATGCATCACCCACAATTGTCATAAATATTCCTAAGAAATGAAGTTAATGGAGTTTGTGTACCAATATGTTGGTGCTGGGACTTGAACCAAGGTCCTCTGATTGATACTACTTTATGTTAATTTTTAGTTCTTAGGGATTCTAATTCATATTAATTTCTAGTTTTCAGGGCAATTTAATACCATCTACCTAGCATCCAAAATTCGGAGTGTGACAGATGAAAATAGTGAATTTAGGATGCTGATGCATGAAGTGAATTATTTTAAGAATTACACATGTATGAGCATAAAGTACCATATTAGGTAAGAAAGTTTTATCAAGTAGAAGTAATTGTTTGTATATGTGAAAAAAGTTAAATAAAAAAGAAAAAATGGTATTCAGAGTATTTCCCAAACATTTCTGAAATGGGAAGATAAAGTGGGTGTATTTCAAGGGTAGCTGGAATTGAGAGTCACTGTGACTAACATTATAAACTTTAGAATTCATGTTGATATTTTAATTTTTATTTCTATTAAAATAGCAAAAACATGAACTCAGGGAGTTGAGAACAAATTATGGAAATAAAACAATATTTGCTGAATGTAAAATATTAATAAATGTGAATATAACTAAAGGAAAATTTGGGACAGTAAATATAAAAAAATCAATGTTCATAACCTGACAATGAGAAATGCTTCTCTTCTTGAAAACCTTCCTGGTATTTGGATATCTATCATTGCATCAATAAGATTACCGGTGTCACTTTTATGATGTAGGAATTCCTTTCTATTATGGGTCTGAGGCCCATTATCATCCACACATCCCAGTGTGCACAGAAAGTTGGTCCACAAAAAAATAGTAATCACCAATCAAAAAATCATATTAATGAAATATTTTCAAACCGTGGTATAGCATGACAGAAAACAAGAACATGACAGTGGGCATGTCTCACTTTTGACAAGTTTTTTCTTGTGTCAGAAACATACACGGGATAATACATATTAAATAATGAGTGATTTTATTTGTTATATTGTGTTTAGGAAAAATGGAAAATGCCAACTGCACAAGGTCTGGGCTGAAAATTTTAATTTGCTTGACTGCTATAAGAAATGTAAGTATCTCTGCTTGAGAATTGGTGATGTTATTTATATTTTCTGTAACCAATACAGTCTTTATGAGGAGCATATTTAGGAGACAACTGATCGATCCATTTTGCTTCCTATTATAGATAATTTCATCAATAGAAGACCAATAAAGTATATATTTCACGACAGAGCCGCATCAGATAAGGTCAATAATGTAAAATGCCCACAAAGGAATGGGACTGAGAACATTATAGGTACCTGGAGGTTTACTGAATCCTATCGTCATTTCTCGAGAATCTACTATTACCCAGAGACACAGGGAGGCTTACACAGAAGTGAGTAAAAGCTCCATAGTTGAAGTTGAAGAAAATAATGCACATATGACTCTTGCAAAGGTGTGCAAAATAAAATACCTAATAAGCAAACTGACAAATAAATAAACAAATACAGGTTTTGCTAAAGTTGGACACGTACAGGCAAGTAGATGACTTTTGCTTTTTATACTAGGATTTAAGGGAATGTTTCCCAGACTCAATAATTTAATGCAAAAATGGATGTATATTTTTATTGTCCTAGAAATATTTGGATTATTGTGAAAGAATTGTTTTCAAGTGTTTTTTAGAAATACTAAAATATCAGATACATATAAATAACATTATGTGGACTCAAAGAGTTATGTTTGTGAAGAAATGTATATTACATTTATCTTACTAGTCATTATTATTTCATATATTACATGATACAATATACAATTTATATATAATATATATACTTATATGATGAATATAAGTATGCAAACATAATAAGTGAAAAAGGGAAATGAATTTGAAGGAAGATGTGTAGGGGTATACACTATATGACTGACTATACAGAGGAAAGAGACGTGGCAAAATTGTTGTAACAATATTAAAAACTCAAGCAATTAGTAAATAAGAGACTAGGAGAATATGTGAGAATCTGTATTATGTACTAATGAAGGAAAAATTATTACTTCCCAGTCCCAAGTGACTTTTACATTGTGATACATTTTGCCTCAAACACCACCATCCTACTTGAAGCCTCATTTATTAATGATTTGGCGTACCATCAGACGCTGACAGCAGCACTAGGTATGTAAAAATCAAAAAGCAGAAGACATTTTTTTCGTTGTTAACTGACACATAAATGTGTACCTGCATTTCATTCTGTGATGTTCTGGTGTAGGAAGGTGTTTATTCATTCTTTCTTCTTTTTTTTTTAAGAAACATTCACAATTGTGTGAAATTTGAGTTGAATTGTACAGATAATAATTTAAAAAATAACTTTGAATATCTTATTTCTTTTGTTCCCACTTTTTTATTTAAAGTATAAACAATTTTGCTTTACATGTCAATCCCAGCTTCTTCTCTCTCCTCTCCTCCCCCACCTCCCACCAACTCCACAACCTCCCACCATGTCCCTGCTTCTCTTCCCAGGAACAGTGAGGCCCTCCTTGGGGGATCTCCAAAGTCTGTCATGTCATTCCAGGCATGGCATAGCCTCACCCATGGGTCCAAGCTGAGACATCATCCCTCATTGTGGAATGGGATCCCAAAGTCCATTTGTATGCCAGGGACACCCAAGGCCCCATAGATTGCCAAGGTCTCATCCATAATACCCACTCTCAGGAGGTCTGGAATCAGTCCCATGCTAGCTTCTCAGTCATTAGTCTGGGGTTCATGAGCTTCCCCTTGTTCAGGTCAACTGTTTCTGTGGGTTTCACCAATCTGGTCTTGACTGTTTGCTCATCACTACTCCCTATCTGCAGCTGGGTTATATAGGAGTTCAGTTCAGTGTTTAGCTGTGGGTGTTTGCCTATGCTTCCATCAGTCATGAATGAAGATTCTAGGATGGCACATAAGGTAGTCATCAATCTCATTAACAGGGGAAGGCATTTAAGATAGCCTCTCTACTTTTGCTTAGATTACCAGTTGGTGTCATCTTTGTAGATCTCTGAAATTCTCTTCTCAAACCTATAATGACTCCCTCAATTATAGTATCTTTCATTCTGCTCTCCTCATCTTGGATATAATGTATGTAAAATTTTTATCCATGTAAAGAACATTTGATCCAAATTCAGAATAATTTGTCTTACTGGCATCATCACTAGGGTGGTGGGATCAGGTAGCAGGATTGACCAACTGATAACAATGTGATGAATTCAGACCTTTGGGTGTGATTATAATGAAAGCCTAGTCTGATTTTTTCCTTCATGAAATGCAGCAAGGGGAACAAATATTACTGAACAAATGTGGAAAGAGTATGTAAAGTTGAACCGTCAGCTCAACATCCCAATTGAAAATATTAATAATGTATATGAGGCAGGTAAGCCAGTTTTTGCAAACTGACCTGAAATTAATGTAAAATCCTCACAAAAAACATGAAGGAAATCCAGTAATTTTATATTTTCTTCTTTGGTGTTATTCCTCACAGATGCATGCCCTAAGTTGGAGCAGTGATCCGGAGAGTAGAAACATGGTATTATTCTATGTTCTTGACTCACTGGAATATAATTTTGGGGTTGATTCAATCATGGAAGCCGACAATGTCCATAGTTGTCACTTTGGAACTTCTGCACACCTCCTTTTACTGAAAATCATTACTGGCTTTGTGTCTGATTAAATGCATTGATTTCACATTGCAAAAGGGCTTTCTGTAAAGTATCTAATGTGCATCATATAGATTATTCTTCTAGATCTGAAATAGTGTCTGCCTTCATTACCCTATCATCAAGGGAAATAGTTTGTTAACTTTGAAACTTATCAGCTTGAAAATAATAATGTTCCTAGGGCTTATCAGGTGTATTTTTCTGTGTGTTTTTTCAGAATATTTCAAAAAATATAGTAATGAATACACAGTGTACAGACTCCACAGGATTGTGAATTCTCATATTTGTACATCTGAACTGGCTTTATTACAAATAAGAATTGTTTCACCAAAATTAATTGCATGCACAGCAAATATTGAAAATGTTGTTTGTATAAAATTTAATTGTTGAATTATTTAAGAAATTATGCTCATGTGTGAATGCATAATGCACCAAGTAATTGAAAAAGAGAAATAGGGGACATATGGGAGGATTTGGAGGAAGAAAAATGATGTAATTATATTATAATATTGAATATAAAGATAAAAATCAACGGACACTACTCACAAAAATGGCTTGAAGCATCAGTTGTTTGTCATCAATTCTAGCACTAGATTGAGAAGGGTGGAGACTATGCTTGTAACCATGGCAACAACTCAGATGCTAACTTTCCGTTAGGTGCAGGCAGACACTTTATCAAGAATAGAGTGCAGGATGGTAGAGGAAACATTGTTTTACACACTTGAATGCTTCCAGATACACATATATCCCTGAAAACACCACACATGCTTTAATGCACACAAATATAAGAGGTAGGGTGCCATCACTAAACATGTGATGCTTCTTACAGAGGAGGCATGCACAATGTTGTGAGAAAATACTTATGTTTCATCAACTTTAAAAATATGTTCATTACAAATAGGGTTTTCATACAATATATCCTGATTACAATTTCCCCTCTCCCAATTCCTCTGAGATGCTCCCCATGCACACAATTCCCCACCATGTCTGCTTCTTTCTCATCAGAATACAATACAATGTAATGTTTATTAAAAAATAACCCACCTTATACACCATTGTGTTATCTCGGTATCAATTGTTATAAGGCAAACATGATTTGGGTTGAGGGTGAAATAAGAGAATAAATGACAACAGCATTAGCCATGGTAACTTGAAAGTGGGTGGTGGGTATGATGAATGCACACATCTCATATATCCCAATCACCAGATGTCATGAGTAGAAAGATCATCCCTACACCTATGCCATTCAGTGCAGGAGTTAATAATTCCCATTCACACTCCAAGATTTTTGTGTTGAGTGGTGCTGATTTAAAACAATATTATATATGCAAAGAACTACAGAGAAATAGAGATCCCTGAGAGTGGAATTATTTTCTGGCTTGGGTATGTGATCTCTCATTGGTTATCCGGTAGCAGGTTGTCAGCCCTGAAATCATATACACTGAAACAACACACAATGAACTCAGCAAGTATCTTTTATACACTTATGGAAATATATATATTTATATATGCAACAATAATAGTTAAAGAAATTTGTGATTGTGAAAAGGAGTAGGGGTATGTGAGTGATTGGAAAAAGGAGAGTTTTATGACCAAGGATGCAACTATATTTCATGTAAAGTAAATATATAGTTTGTTATATCATAAATTTTATATAATATATTTATATTCATATAACTAATATATTTAATTGCTGTTTCAGTTATATTAAATATATAATATATTTAAATATAGTTTAATGTTTATATTGATATAAATATATTAAATATATGTTATATACCTGTATATATAACATATAATTGTACTGTGTCGGTGTGAATAGAAATAGCTCCTTAGGCTCATATATTTGCATTCTTGATCATTAGGGAGTGATGGTACTGGGGAAGGATTAGAAGGCTCACCTTATTGGAGTCCATGTGGCCTTTTTGGAGGAAGTGTGTCACTAGGGGTGTGATTCGAGATTTCAAATATTCAAGTCAGGCTCAGGTACTCTACCTGCTACCAGAGGATCCTTCTCCAGCAATATTCCTGCAAGTGGCCATACTAGCCAAAATGATGATAAAAATCGCCAAAACTATGAAACTCTAACCAAGCCCCAATTAAACACTTTCATTTATGAGTGTTGGCTTGTCATGGTCTCTTTACAGCAATAGAATACTGACTAAGAATTGTACCATAACTGCTTTTGCTTAGAATTAAAATAAAATCTAAAAAATCCCTGCAAAACAGTAGGTGTTGGTTTGTTTGTCCAAGTGCATAAATACAAGTTCCCATCAGTTTCTCCTCCCAAATAATATGTCTACAACACAATTCCTACACCTAAGGCTTAGGAAATCCCACAGGATAGAGAACAGAATGATCATAGGAGACAGAGAACCAGGAGGCCTGATCTGGTTTCATCTTCATATGACAGGGAAGTTGAGGCGATTCAATCTCAACAATATGACTACTTAAACAAGACCTTAATAATGTTAGGCCTATTTAAGATCTCGATGAGGATAGGGAAATTTCATTAAGACTTCACTTTGCATAAATAGGAGAGAGAAACCAATTAGTGATTAATGAGAGACGGGGACAGTGAGGGAGAAAGAGAGAGAGAGAGAGAGACAGAGACAGAGACAGACAGAGAGACAGAGACAGACAGAGACAGAGAAAGACCGAGAGAATGAGAATGTTGAAGAGAATTCATTTTCTCCAGCATTGTATGTTTTATCCAATAAAATATCTTCTCACTTAAGAACAGATGTATGTGCCGGGCGTTGGTGGCGCATGCCTTTAATCCCAGCACTCGGGAGGCAGAGGCAGGCGGATCTCTGTGATTTCGAGGCCGGGCTGGACCGATAGCCTCCGAAACAATACAGAGAAACCCTGTCTTGTAAAACCAAAAAAAAAAAAAAAAAAAAAAAAAGGAACAGATGTATGAGCAAAAGTAAATGAACTATATAGTTTGCATTAGTGTATTTATTCGTGTGTGTGTGTGTGTGTGTGTGTGTGTGCATAGATAGATAGGATGATAGTAGGCAGGTGATAGGCTGGTAGATACATAAATGGATAGGTAGACACACAGATATATGTTACATAGATGATTGATTGATAGATGGTGGATAGATACAGAGAGATGATGGGTAGTATAACTGTCACCTTGAAATGACCTAGATTAGTTAGTAAATATATTTTCAACCAACGGTTGTGTACATTAGGTTGAACTTTGAGATGTTTTATTTATCATAAGAAGACCTTGTCACTCAACTTTAAACTTGTTAGCCAGTAGTATTCAGTGGGGCTGTTGTCTTACACACAATAACTCTGCTTATATTTTTAAAATATGGATGTTCACATTTTAGGAAGCTTATACATTCCTATGTTTTCATATGAGATCTTCAAGTTGTAAACCTTATGTGATACAAAATTACCATATTGGCAAAATTTATCCACTGGTGCACATACATATGAGATATAGACTGTTTGACACAAGCTCATGTTATCTAGGAAGAGGTTGGTCTGTGTGAAATCCTGTGGGGCATTTTCTTGATTGCTGGTTTATGTGGGAGGTTATCAAGTTTGAAATGTGTATTCATGTATTTCTCTACAGCTTTTATCAGATAAAGTAAGACAATTATATATTACTCTTTATATTGAAAATAAATTTAATTAATATGTATTTCTGTGAGCACAAATGTGATATTTCATATATATAATCAAAATTAACAAAACATTTGGGTTTTTATAAATCACTTTTTAAATAAAATGAGCATGGAAATCTGATATCTTTGAACATCTTTCTGTTATTAAAAAGAAATTACACACAATTAGGAATCAATGTTTTCCTATAGTATATGAAATAATTTATTTCTCATATGGCATTATCAAACTTTTCCTCAATAATGATATCATGTCCAATAATATGCCTCCCATCATCTTTAAATATCAGGAGTCAAATATAATAAGCATTGAAGTCAAAGTCCATGCTATACAACACAGTTATAATGTGGAAACAAACCATCCTTGCCTCTCAATTAGCTCATGGAAAACCTTCATTCATTATGAAAGATGTGTATATACCTAAATTTTTATCCTAGTCTATATTATGATGGAATAATTAAATGCACATAAAAATGTAATATGAAATTACAAATAGTCACTCCTTAGAGACAGATAATTAAAAAATGTTGAAGACATTTAATTTAAAAGAAATCATGTCATTGTAAATCCCTATTTAAAAAAGAAAACTTCTGGGCAACATGAATTCCATGTTCTATAATTTTCCTTGAAAATTAAATATGGAATCATCTGATGATGAAAAATTGGTTACATTATAACTAAGATAAATTCATAACTAATCTCATTAGGTTCAGTCAGTTTAATCATTGCCACTAAATTTTGGTTCTCTTCACATGTCCTTCAGTCTCTCAGTTGTTTCAGTGAGCAGCATTCTTTATTATAAGATTTAACAGAAAGAATATAGATAGGAAATTTCAGAGAAATTTTAAATTAAATTTTAATTTAGTTTAGTTTTCAGTTGTTATTTGTGTCAGATATCCATATGCAACATCTATATCTATATCTATGCATATGTATGTTGTTTTTTGAATGGTGATGATAGAGTTCTATTCATGCATTTCAAAGAAATTCACTTGATAGTCATAATAAATGGCTATCTAGTTAATTTGCCATAGTTATTCATATATATGTATATATATATATAGAGAGAGAGTTTCCTAAAATCCTTTGCCATTGCCTTAAAAAAATGAAGGATAGAGTAGCTTTTCCCCATGTTATAAAGGTTAACAACATCAATCACAACTTTGCCACTTTTTATTATATATGTATATATATATACATATATATAAATCACAAATATTATTCTTCATTTAAATACATAACTCCAACAGACTAAAGAATTTAAGCACATTTAAACATTAGCACTCTCTTTCACCCTATTTGCATTCAAACATATATTGTCTATATTGATTGTTAGTGTGTGTGTAAGCAAGTTGTTAGATGGGAAGAAATTAACACAAACAAAAACATCATTTGAATTCTATAATGTGTCCAGTGATTTTTAATCATTTTTAACGTCAATTACTGATTATTCTGAGTATTTTCATATGCTCATGTTTGCTGTATGATGCACAGGGATGTTTCCTATGGTTGACATGCACTGGCTTTTCTTCTTTGGAACACTGAGTTCCTTAGCAAGCTTTTTAAGCTTCTGTTTCTGTGTTTTGCTCAGGCACCCACTTTTCCCTACACAGATGACAAAGCAGAAGAAATGACTGTTAAGACACTGTGTGACTCAGGATTGATCCATTTAAGATAGGCCATATTTTGCTGACCCATGTAAATATCCTCATCATCAACAGCTACATTGTGTTCAACCTAAGATTTCTAAAATGAATAGAAGCAAACCATGGATTCAAAATTTTGGGAACCACTTCCATCCCCTCCTTAAAACTATTATTATTATTATTATTATTATTATTATTATTTCTTCATGCTTTCCACATCAGCATAATGTCTTTTCAAAGAGGCTTGTAATGAATCCTGATTG